TTGGGCAGAATTTGAATATAAATTCTTATTAAAACTTAGTTTAGTAGAACACATTAGAAAAGCTCATAAGTTTAATCGCTCCACATGTGAAAACAAATTGATATTGATTTGGTCTCTATTCAGTGAACCAATTGCTACAATCACGTGAGGACACGTGGATCTTGTTATTAAGTTAATGAAACCTACCCTCCAACGTATTTTCTTTTCAACTGCAATCAAGATGAGCATCCTTATGACGATAGTCCTTAAAATGTTCATTATATGTTTCGAATCATAGAAAGAAAAGAACACTTGTTAACGTTTCCATGGTAACAGTTTTGACATTACTACAAAGTGTTTAAATAGAGGAGAAGCTAAATGGCACTAAATGGCCAAAGTTCTGTGGCGAGACAGAGCACCTGCTATTAGATACAGATTTACTCTGTAACATAGTTGTTTGTCTCACGTCAAATATATTCAGTCTACGTTCTGAACTCAGGAGATTACGTCACAATTATTATCAAATTACTGATAAATTAGAATGAAAAACTATTACAAACAACTTCGGTAGTCATAACGTAAGAGTTAAAAGACAAAACAATCATGATACTTTATTCATTCCAAAGGACGAAAATCAGAGTGTGTAGCAGACTATCATCTACCCAGCCATATCAATTTAGAAAATAGTAGGACGAGAATCAGAGTGTGTAGCAGACTATCATCTACCCGGCCATATCAATTTAGAAAATAGTAGGACGAGAATCGGATTGTGTAGTAGATTATCATCTACCCAGCCATATCAATTTAGAAAATAGTAGGACGAGAATCAGAGTGTGTAGTAGATTATCATCTACCCAGCCATATCAATTTAGAAAATAGTAGGACGAGAATCAGAGTGTGTAGCAGACTATCATCTACCCAGCCATATCAATTTAGAAAATAGTAGAAACACTTTTTTTTTTTACATAGTGACAGAGTTGTGCATATTTTACTGAAACATGTAAAAACAACTTCCTGCATTCACAATCAAACTTTAATTACAACTGTTTCGGCAGTATTTGACTGCCATCGTCGGAGTGTAAAAAATTATTACTTCTGATGATGACAGTGAAATGCTGCCAAAACATGCAAAATTGTAATTAAAGTTTGACTGTGCATGAAAAAAAAGTTTTTTTATTTGTTTCATTCACTTTTTTTAATATAATGAATTATTAACTTTAAAAACTGACTTTGTTAGGGTTTTTCTGTTTAAATGACTATCTGCTCCAGCCGTCCCTAATTTTAAAGTGTTAGACTACAGGAAAGGCAGCTGGTTAATACCACCCCCCGCCAACTCTGGAGTTACTCTTTTACCAACGAATAGTATAGTATCATTCACCGTCACGTTATAGTGGCATCACTGTTGAAAGGGCAAGCATTTTCGGTAATTGGATTAGTTGAGTGCCCTAACCACTAGACCATACCAAAAGTGGTATTAGGCTGAAACCTAAAAAGGTCACTTCAGTTTTTGAAGCATGTTCATAGACCAAATATCCTTAGTTAATAGAATTTTGTGTAAAGTTAAGGTAGTGAATTCTAACGTTTATAGCATATATGATGAAAAAACATCGTTTCAAGCTCCACAAACTCCTTCTTTACCGAGTCTTAAACTTACACCCTCTTCAATTCAACGTGAAAAATTTGCAGTTCCTATTCTACTCACGTGTTGTCCAAAAGATTCGTCAATAAACAAGTTACCGTCATTTTTATCACTAAATCGTCTTATATTGCTATCATTCTGCTGTGATTTTCATCTCTAGCCTAAAGTACCTATACCTAACTGGATGGTCCCCTAGTGGTTCAGCGGTAAGTCTACAGGCTTACGACAATAAAAATCTGGTTTCGATACCCGTGGTGAGCAGAGCACAGAGAGGGCATTGTACAGCTTTACGTTTAACAACAAACAAAACAAAACTTAAATGAATGAACTTTGAGTGAAAACAGTGAATCAGTTTAATGTTCCACTAAATTAGTTCACTGTTTTCGCTCACATATAGATAATTTTTTATAATGTCAGCGCAATCCTGTTGCGAAATAGTAAAACAATGTAGGACCGAAGGATGTGGGGCTCAAAATGTGATGCCACTTAATACGCTCAGCACTTTAACTGTGGTTACTTTATAAAAGTGATATCCAAACCCGTTGCTTCGTTCAAAGAACCGTATAAAACTTTTGTGGCGGCTGTTGCTTCTGACTAGCTACTCTTCTTCTAGTCAGCATTTCAAAATTAGAAACATCTATACTCAAGCCCTTGATCTCTCTGACCTAGCCGTTTAGCCCATAATGAGTCGTTCAGTTGAAAATTCCAGATTCGTTCCAATTTATGAAGAAATAATTCAACTATTTTGACTTGAAATTTTGTTGCTTGAAATATCCATTTAAAATGTAAATCCTTCGTCGTGAATGACTTATATTTTAAAAGTTAGGAAAGTAATTTTGTACCATTAAACTGACCTTATTTCGTGATTGTCTTATAAAAATGTAACATCTGGTTTGATTGTATTTCCTTGATGATCCAAAGCGCTATCAGATCCAAATAACAGCGAGGAATATTTCGATAGATTGAGTGCAATAGAAAAGAACATAATGCCAGTCTTGGTTGATGTTAGACAATCTCTGCCAACATTCTGTAACTCCAAGCTATGAAACGTTCTTTAATGGCACCTGATGGGAATTTTATATCGCAAACGTTAAATGTTCTAAATAACAACATTTATCGATTGACTGTGTGAAAAATTCATATATTGGACCAGACACCGTTGGCAAAGTCCGCTATAATTAGATAAGCGTGTAACTTAACAAAATTTATAGGGTTGTAAAGCTGAGTGAACGCTATAAAGACACAACTAAGTAGCCGTTACAATACAGCTTGATAGCATAAAAATTTAAAAAAAAACATAGGAAGAAGATAGAGCCTACCTACAGTTCTTATACTGTGTATAATGTTTTAAGTATCTCAATATTTACAGCATTTAAGACGGGACCACGTGTTACTCGATATGCTTTTTACATCCCACTATTTGAAATTAAATTGAAATATATTTTATACTGAAATATCGTATTATTTACAATATAAAGTCTCTTAATCCAGGAATTTCATCCCAAAAGGTGAAAGTAAAACCGAAAATAATTCGAATAACACATTTTTTTAATCGTTTCTGTTTTTACTTTTTACTTACAAAGTCATGTAATGATGGAAATTAATCTTTTATGTTCAATAATCCAGAATTATAAAACATAAACGTTCCATCAATTTTTGTGTTTCACAGATCTGTAGCATTTGCGTTAGTCACAACACACACAGAAAACGTCCATCTATGTCGCATATAAATAAATAAGAAAGAAAACGGTAACCTTAATACGTTGGTATTCGCTTATTCGGAAATTACTTAAAGAAAAAAAATGCAAAAAGATGACAGTTTTATTCGTAGATTACCATGGAGCTGCGTTATATAAATGACAGATCAGATTATTCTGGCTTTTGACAGAGAACTCGTTTACCCACGAGATTATATACAGTACATGTATACAACTACCACAGTCACTTCCAAATCTAGGAGTGTGATCATGAGTTTTGAACAGACTTCACGAAACTTTAAATTACATTATACTTCAATTTAGTGAATTTTATTAGATATTTCATTAACTTCTGCTGAACGGGTTTAACTGTTATAGAATTCCCAGAATAAAATAAATCAGATTGCGAAATTACTGGCTGAATAGCCGTGATTTTGAATTCAATAGAAAGCTCAAGTTTAGAATGTATTAGCTGAAAGTGAATGTCAATTTTGAACAACATAAATGAAAACAGGTTGAAAAGATCTACGACTATTATTGGTAAAAGAGAGTTGAAACTGTCTACATGATCTTATCAGAAAAAAAGGGTATATTTTAAACAGTCTTGTTCCAGTATATGTTGAGACCTGACTTCTTTTTATTTTATATGTTATCCTTACACTTATCGTAAACTATCTACAGATTACGTTTATTATGAGATTAAAATAGCATATTTTTGGGTCCACGTTCAAATTCGATTAAATATATTTTTATGAAATTTGATATATATATATATAGTGCATAGATAACGTTTACTTTCTTACTAAACCAGTACGTCTTTAAACAGATTATCTTGTATCCAATGTTTGGATATTTCCTAAAGTTTGATTTATATCGTTAATTACATTATTATCATTTTTGATCTATCAATTTGAAAAACGTGCTTATTTATTTCCACTTCTTCATTAATCCTTTAGTAAAATGTGAACTTCCCTGTAAAAAATGTCAAGTATGAGTATTCAGAAACTGAAATCGGTAGATGAAGTTACCAAAATTAACACTTCGCTTGATGATCTCAGTCAATGATATAGTCGATTTTGATCATAATATTATTCTAAAAAAACAACAAAAAAAACGTTCACTAATATAAGCTGCGAGGTTTTTCTCATTTAATTAAACTTGGTGCAATACTCTAACAGATAATAGTGAATCAAAGACGCTTTGATACGAATGTAAATTGGCGAAAGGTTTCTGTTCCAGTTAGTTTTATCGAGAAGTGTGTTTGGATACAATGCGCAACCGATTTTTTCCCATACAGCAAAATAACTGTAGTCTATAAGTTAAATAAAATGTGCAAAGTATTTGATTTATCGTTATGAGAATGACGTTGATTTTACAAAATTTGGAAAAAATCCATACACCATGAAATAATTACTAAATATTATGATTGTTCTCTTCATATTATTTTGGCGTTATTTAAGTACAAATATTTAACAGATACGTTGGCTTCACCTACATATTCACATACTATAGAAAGAATTATTCCACAGAAATGATTATTTTAATGTCGTGGTGTTTTAATACTTTATTATACGTGAATTAAAGTCACCAGGTTTACAATACTAGGATTGGTTAGTAGTGAAAAATAATTAGCTAAGTTTATGATTCTACAAAAAATAACATTTTTGGGTTCTACTTTATAACAGACGTTACGGTTGCTGTGGACCGACAAAAGGGGCCCGTTTTTCTTCAAGAACCTCCACATAATATTGACTTTTCAAACACAACCGGAGCTGTTATTCAATGTTTAGCGCATGGTAATCCTTCTCCAACGGTCAGTTGGTCAGTGAATGACAGGATAGCGGTCAGTGATGTCACAGGTCTCCGTTACGTACGTAGTGATGGAGCACTTGTTTTCCCTCCATTTCGAGGTGAAGATTTTAGACAGGAGATCCATGACGCCACCTACCGGTGCATTGCTTCTAATTCAGTTGGCACAATAGGAAGTAGAGAAGTTAAAGTCAAAGGTGGTAAGTAAAATGGGCTTTATATTTGTGTTCTTTTTTTTCCTGTTTCTGAAATCATTTTCCTTGTACAATTTTTAACTTAAAAGTATTGGCGTTTAATATTTTGAGTTGATGCTTTGCAAAACTTCGAAGTTCAATCATTTTACTATTTTTTCAATCCTATTTAACATACGTTATTCTTACCATCCCTTTCTTCCCCAGTAAGTCTGAAGGCTTATAACGCTAAATACTGAGTTTCGACGCCCGTGGTGAGCACAACACGGATAGCCTACTATGTATCTTTGCGATTAACAACAATCTTTCTCTGTGTACAAAGGAAAAGCTTTCGTATCTTAGTCGACTGCAACCATTAACAGTGCCCGCTTCACTTTGTTGTAAATGTTAACGACAAGACTCGTGAATGAAGCTTCCCGTAATATTTAATACCGGATCAGGTTGTTCTACCAAGTACATGAAGATTCAAATAAGTTGTTCTGAACATATTAAGAATATGCAGACATAAAAGTAATATTATGCATAAGCAATGATTTAGAAACTACACTTAGAACACTAACTATAAATTACGAATGTAAAACAAATCATAAGAAACATAGAAAATGTGAAGAAATATCATTTTTATTGAAATTTCTTTACACGAGTATTATACAGCGATATTCTTTAAACTTCAGTTTGGCTTCAACATGTGTAGAATAATGACGGAGATTACGTCAAGTTTCAACAATATATTTTCTTTTTTTAGCTAAAAAAATAAAGATTTAGAAATATAAAATAAGTCAGGAAAACCAGACACACAGCAAATCATGAAGTTTAAAAAGTATAATAAAATAAATAAATATAGGACGAATTAGGAATTATACACATTCAAAGAATGAAGAAATACAAAGGTGTAAGATTCGAATGTTACAGGCTAATCTAAATACTCAGTTTTAACATTTATGGAACTATTTCTCATGAACGATCTTGCACTCTGGTGGTTCAGTGGTAAACCTGAAGGTTTATCAAATCAAAACTCTGAGTTCAATCTCTGCGATGGGCACAGCACAGATAGCCTATGCTACAGCTTTGTGGTTAACAACAAAACAAATTCATATTTTAAGATGGAGATAGAGGTAGGTCAAATTCGGCTCGTCAATCACTGTAAGGATTTTGGCAATGCTTTGTTGTTTGGAATTTCCAACAGTTACCATATTTGCTTTTAATTATTGAGTATTAATAGATAATATATAAAGTATTTGGGATTATCAGAATACATACATATATGAACATCCACTTTTATGTGAGGATTACATCCACTATTTATAGATGTTCCGAGCAACCTCGTTATAATAACTGTAAAAACACTTAATGAACAGTGGTGCTAAATGAACGGCATACACGTAGCGCCTTCTCTGGGTTTGGAAACTAATGGAGGCAGCAGAGCGTGAAGTAACTCCGTACGATTATATTAACTAATGTTCTCATGTCTCACTAGGTATATAGTTTGTTCACACCTATTTGTATCCATGGGTATACATATACAGACACTTATGTGATGGGTATATATATATATACACACTTACGTCAGATGCTAATTCAAATAGATGTTTATTGACCTCTTTAATATAAAATCCTATCATTAAAAGCATATTGATGCTACTTGTACACAGTAGTGTTCAATGCCGATTCTTCGAAAGCATCGATCTAAATAAGTTTCTGAATGAAAGCAAACATTACTTCATGACTTGTACTCTTTTTGTTTTGTTCTTATTTTAATATGGGCAGTGCATATAAGAAGTGCATTTAGAACATTAAACTTCAATTAAATCAACATTTTGGTGACGGCGGGGCATTAACCTAGGAATTTGATGGTTCAGTTTCAAATATTAAAGGAGCATGAAAAGTTAGGTCTTCCATTTCAAGCCACAGAAAACAGAGCTGTCAAAACACATTCTGCTTTACCTTTAACAGCCACGTGACTCGTCTCTTTGAGTTTGCTATTTGTTTTGAGTTCCGAGTAGAAGTGGCATCCGGAAATGAGTTTTCTCTTCATTTCTCTTCCTCCCCGAAATACCCTCTCGACCCCTTCCCTTGCTTCTAAAAAGATTTAATCAATGCAAATTTCAGCGAAATATTAGATTTATTTGTTATTTCCTTAATGGTTGTTGTTGTTTTTTTCTCCCTTGAGAAGTTTAACAAATAATTGCTTCGTTATCGCGAGAACCATTTCATATTTACAGATGTCGCCATTGTCGCATGCAAATATAAGATATTTATGAATTAAATATTACAAAACACGTTTTAATTATACAGTTCATTCGGAATGGCGTTTGACATTATCAGCAACACAACTTGCAATGACAAATATTCACTCTGTCGAAACTTTCTTGAAATAAGAAAAAATAATCAGAGAAAAATTTTCTTCTATCACAAGACGCTACTCTGTATTAACACGATTGGAATGAACACCTACAAATCGATGAGCATAAAAACATGTTTAAAGAAAAGTGAGCTTTTGATAAAGCGTCTCTTAGTTATATATTTATGGAATACAATTTTCTTAGTTTAAAATGATTCTTTCTTACTCTTAAAAAGACATACGTATCGTCTATTTGACTGATTAACAACTTTACCCCATTGAACTTCTAATTTTTTAACAAAATTCCTCATTTTCAACGTCATGTAACATAATGTGAAACTATACATGATATGTGAAATACTGATTTTATACATAATGATGAATTCATTGTTGAGGATAAGTATAGAAATGCGTGCCCTGTTGCTATTATAGATAGTGATATGCATAGTAATACATAGTATGTTATCTGTCAGTCAGTCAGTAGACACTAAAACGACGTCAACATAAGGGACGTTTAATATTGCAATTTGTACTATCGTGACGTCAGGAAAATGTGCGCATGCCATGATTCACGAGAAGAATTATGCATTCTGTAGGCTACAAAACAGCATGACATATGAACTTCGAAAGCAAGAAATACAAATATTTATTCATCTTAACTTTTATTTATTCATGAAACATAACACTTTCTGGGACTCTGCGGAAGTACACCTATTATATATTAAATGATATTACATTTTAACAGTACTTTTATATATTAAATAGTATTACATTTTGGCACTACTTGTATATATTAAATGGTATTACACTTTGGCACTACGTGTATATATTAAATGGTGCTACAATTTTACAGGACGTATATTTATTAAAGGTAATACACTTTAACAGTACATCTTTTAGAATGTACTGTTTATCTTAGGGTGACAGACAACATGCTCTTCAATATTCTTAGTATTAAGTAGTTTGTTTCCAATATCCAGTAAACATAATTAATATCATTTGTTTATCTATCTATCTACCTGTCTTTCTTTCTTTCTATCTAACTAACATACTTGTGGGAAGAAGATTAAGTCCATTTCTCTACGAGATTTTATTATTATACGCATTTAGATAAAATATTCTTCAGTTCAAAACTAAACCGTTGCTATTACTCGCGGAGTGTATAATATTAAACTATTAATATTCCGCGTTTTAGAATATTTGTAAACACTGTTGCACGTAAATAATTGGCTCATTGTTTTATGTATATTCCATGTAATACTCAATATAACACATGATAATATGTTTTACACCTTTTTTACTTGCTGTTAATCTCACAGTTTATTTAGGTAGATAACAGAACATACCTGTAAACGTTATAGTAATCTTATATGTAAGAAGAAGTAATATATATATACTTATTTGTTTGTAAGTACACACTCGCGCACGTGTTTATACTTGACAGGAAGTGTATAAATCCGCACATGTCTCACTACCAGAATAAACAAATGAACTACGCCTGTGTCTCTCTGTAATAAACAAATGAACTACGCCTGTGTCTCTCTCTTTTTTCTTTTTTTTTAGGGTTTGGCGAAGTAATCTTGTTTCTGCTCCTGCCATAATTAATTAGAAATATGAATAAAACTAATGGGTTCTTTTTTTATATAAACATGTTGTATCTTCAAGTGTTTCTTAGTAATGTGTGAAAATATTTGTTACAGGCACTATGGTAAAATATGTATAACAACATTCGAAGGATTCACACACATTCACTCTTTTAATACCTACAACCTGTTTTTTTTTTACACACAGCCATAGTAAACCTAATGAGTTAGCCTACGTTTAAACAACGTTATATGGCATTAGTTTAAAGTATGTTAAATGTATGTTGATTAACGCTCAACATGACAACTATCCCAGGTTATGTTTATCGCTACACTCAAATACTGGTTACCATTAACATAGAAACGAGTATATAACTGTATCACGTTTAAGTTAACAAGCGTATAAAAAGTGAAAATTATATCTATGAAAGCTGTATTAAATTTAAAGAGTAATGTTACATATATCCAGTTTATACAGAAATATAATTTTATTATATAAGGGGGTTACTTAGAAAGACGTTTAAAACAACCTAGTTTATATTAATATCGTGATTAATAAGGCTACCCAACTGATGAAACATTGAATACTAATCTTTATAAGTAAGAACAGTGTGTTTTATTAATTTTACTCATTACCAGGCTGATTTATTTTTTATCTAACTAGGTAGCTTTCTCTGCTCGGAATTTAATATTAAATGCTAATGATTTTTACCTAACAATCAAAATTAAGTTTATAGCCAAGACATTTTAGGTTTCTAAACCAAATTCCAGTGAAACGAAATTTTCATCTAGATAAAATCTAGTCCAATTAATTTAAAATAGATAAAGTGCTGAAAATTCTCAAAATAATACAACAAACAAAGAGAAAGGATAAAGTTTGTGAGATGCTCAAAACAACACAAAAAGCTAAGATAGTGTGAACAAAAAACTAAAACAACAGAACAGGCGAAAAGAGTAAATAAAACAGTAAAAGAACAGAAAAGAGTGGATAAAAAGCGAAAGGTACTCTAAACAACAGAACAAGCGAAAGAAGTGGATAAAGTGCAGAAGGTGCTCAAAATTATACAAGGCAAGAGAAGAAAGTG